CCCCCCCCCCCCCCCCCGACACACGCAGCCTCTTGAGATGCTTTGCCGGGTCCCATGATCAAACAAAATAAAAAAAGGCTCCTGTGTGACCCTCCGCCTCTGCAACCCCTTGTGATACGTCAAAAATGTTACACTGAACGGCGTGTAGACTGGCGCCAGACTATACATGGGTCGAGCACGTGCCCACAAGCGTGTTTCAGTCTGGGAACACTGAACTGGACGTTTTTCTTTTCGATGTGCTGTTTTTTTGTTTTTTCTTCTTGTCAGTGGCAAGAGCCGGAGGAGGCGTCAAAACCGACCAAGAAATGGAGGCTGTACGTCTTCAAGGGAGATGCTGCCATAGGTGTGTGTGAGGGGTGTGTTGTTGCCTTTTTCTGCTTCTCCTCCCCGTCCCCATTCCCAGTTGGAGTGGCACTCTCGGTTGTTTGTTTGGTGTTGCTGCTGCTTTTGCTGCTTCGGCCTCTGTTGTGGTGTCACTGCCGTTGGACGTGCTGTGGGGCGTGCTGTTGTTGCTTCAACCTTGGCCAGAGTCTATTGTGGCGGCACCGCTGTTGGACGTGCTGTGGGGGATGCCACTCATGGCGTGGATGTTGGCCGCTGGTGCTGACCCAGCCGCCTGCCGTACCGCACCCTGTCCACTACCACTCGTCGGTGAAGTCTCGCTGATCTTTTGTTGGAGAGGTCGAACAGCCATTCTCAGCGTGCGCCGGGCCTGCTGCTGCTTTTGACAGTCTCAGCCCGTTTGCACCATGGAGGCATAGGAAGTGGGCTGAAAGGGCGGGAAGTTGTATCGACAGTAGAGGGAAGAACGCATCTTGCGCCACTATTGGCAAAGTAGAAAGGAGCGATTGGCCATCAGTGATCGGTCCTGTGGGAGCGACAACGCTCCGTCGTGGTCAATGGTTCGACAGCTTATGCATGAATACGTCAGACCCTGCATGCGGGGTCTATGGTCTAACGACTACGGCATGCGATTCCATGAGTATCCCCCCCCCATGCTCGTCCTCGAGGAGGCGTGGTCAAAGAAGGTCTAACAGGTAAGGCATGCAAAACATCAGCACGCCCCNGGTAAGGCATGCAAAACATCAGCCCCCCCCCCCCCCCTTCTTCCCGCTGCAAACTCCGGACCTCGTAGCAACCCTGCACATCCACCGGCAGAGCGCGTACCTCATCGGCAGAGAGAAGCGCGTGGCCGACATCGTGGTGGACCACCCTAGCTGCTCCAAGCAGCACGCCGTCGTGCAGTTCCGGATGTTCGAGAGGGTCGACGAGAAGGAGGGAACCACGCGCCGAAGCGTCAGGTGGGGTTGGGTTGGGTTGGGATCCGGGTTAGGATCCGGGGGTTGATTTGGTTGGCCGGGTGGGATTGGGTCGCGGGTCGGACGAAAAACAAATAGGTATTCCTAACCACGGGAGGTACATAGTAACCTTAGGGATATTCCTTATCGCTACGTAAGCTTATGATCCTTTGGGTTAAGGGCGGGATTAACAACACTACAGTTGTATTTAAGGTCGGGGTTAACAACACTATAATTGTAATTTGTTAGGATGGGTTTAAGGTAGGGGTTGACAACGCGACAATTATGTTAATGTCAGGATGGGTTTAAGGTCGGGGTTGGGTGTAGATTCGGGGCTTGGGGTTGGTTGCGGGTGAATCGTTAGTGTTCAGTCGGGTACGGTACGGTCTTGAGAGTTGTTCTGGGGTTAACGCGGGTCGGACCGGGGGCTCTCACTGGTTTCAGTTTGCACCGTGTCCGTTTTGACGCATGAGGGGACGCTAACAGCACCGCGCGTGTTGGCTCGCTTGGACGTGACAGACCGTACATCATGGACCTGGACAGCACGAACGGGACCCTGCTGAACGGGGAGCAAATCGAGTCGGCGAGGTACATCGAGATGAAGGTACGAGAAGCACCATGCAAGGGACAAGAGGTTGTGTTGTACTAAAACGTCCGACCTTGGCTATGTGGTACGGTGGAGGGCCCTCAATAACGCCGGTATGTGCCCGGCGCATCGAGCGGCGCTATTTGTTGTGGAGAATGACTCGGTGACTCAAGTCTGTGCCCAACATTTTCACCGGCGCTATATCGGGCCACCGGCGCTATTCCATCGGCGTTATGGACGCCCCCCCACCGTACTGCGGCTACTGTAAACGTTCGGAGCGATCGTGCATCCCGTCTGGCTGACTTTCCACAGCTCGATTGCCCCACAACTCCGGTGGTCTTCTAGTAGTGGTATCCTCGTAATCCGCTAGTCGCAGAGGTCGTGAGTTCGAATCCCCATGGGGTGAAAATTTACGAAATGTGCGGGTGAAAGCGAAAGATAGCTGACAAGCTCTCGTGAGTACCGAAGTTCGACGTTAGCACCGTTGACGAGGGAAAGGGACGGCTGGACCCTTCTCGCGATGAACATAAAGTGGGGCACGAAAAGAAATAAAACGAGGAAAACAGCCCTGGTGTTCACCCCCTCCTGTGTGACCCTGGATGGTTGTAGTTGTACGAAAAAATACACTGAAAAGTGTAGCACTCTACATTCGCTGAAAAGTGTAGTACACGTCTCACCACGAAAAATGGGGGGACTGTCGCCATCATAAATAGGACGAAAACACACACACACACACACACACACACACACACCACACATGAAGGGGTGCGACACCCGAGACGCGTGCAAGGAAGGGTGCTCGACGAGATCTCGTCAAGACAACGCGTTTTCGGCATCGGCAGCCGCTTGGCTGCGAAGCAACCGAGCTTTCGTGAAATCAAACCAAGGAGTGCACGATCGCTCGCCATTTTTTTTTATTCTTTTTCCCACCCGTTAACTGCCTTTCTGAGAGCCGAGGCCGCCCTTCTCAGTCTCAAGATCGGTGCGCTTTTGTGTTGCCGCCCTCTCCTCGTCCTCCTGTACACGTGTCTGTGTCTTGTTGGTGGTCGGGGGCGGATGGTTGAATCGTCCGTTGAACTCGCCCGCCACCTTGCAGGAGAAGGACGTGGTGAAGTTCGGCACCAGCACTCGGGAGTACGTGCTCCTCCACGACAAGTCCAACGGATAGAAGAGGATCCAACGGATCTATTTGCCTGGCCCTTTGCTCTCCGTCGAAGACGCCCTCAACCGAGTTCGACAAGTCCAACGGATAGAGTAGGATCCGACGACTAGAAGGGAACCCAACGAGTCTGTCGCCTGGGCTTCTGCTCTCCGTCAACGACACGCTCAATCGAGTGCGACAAATCCATCGGATAGAAGGGTATCCAACGGATCTATTGCCTGGCCCGTAGCTCTCAATTCTTACGACACGCTCCAACCGAGTAGACGTCCAGCGGGGGCACGGACCGGTCTTAAGTACGCACGGGGTCTTGCTGACCGGCGGTTAGACCGACCTAAATCAACGAAGGTGCTGTTGTCCTCTGCGACGAGGGAAAGTGCGAGAAATCAACAGAAAAAACAGTAGCAGGTTCAAGAGAATGACAGGCCTTGGGCAAGCCTTGTTCTGGATGAGCACGAGCAACAGATGTGATTTTTGAGGTTTTATTTCCCCGCGAACATTTCCAAAAGGTTCTCCATCGCACCGCTAGATTTTTTCGCCGCTGTAGGTCTCTCTTCTGCCGTTCATCGAGGAAATAGACATCATGTTGTATCAAAGGGGAAAGCTTATTTTCTAGGGTTGGGTACTAAACCAGTACGTACTGCCAGTGCATATGCACTGGCAGTGCATATGCACTGGCAGTGCATATGCACTGGCTGCGTCAGCAGCCAGTACTCCAGTACATTCCTATATTCGCAGATTTCCTCTGTATTACGCCTCAAGAACCAGCGGAAACCCATATACTCAGATCTCCTCTGAGAGACACACCGCCACACGTCAAACACTAGCTACCAAACACGCCACAGAGGTCGGGAAACCATACAACGATGGACAGGTTTGTAGTCTCCCCTGCCAGCTCGCCGTCTGCTGCAGACTCCGGCAGTGGTGCTGATGATGCAGGGGGTATACGATAGCGTCGCTCATCAACCCAACTGATGGATGCCACTTGGTTGCTTGGGAGTAATATTATAATGTTTCAATATTTCCTCATGTCCAAAACCAACAAATTCAGTCGTTGAACTCGAACTTTCTATCGTTTTCCCAGCGATAGTGCCTCTGTCAGATGGGCCAAAATCACTCATTTTTTTTGCTCTAGTGAAGCCAAATCGCGTACAAAAGCGCCTCCGGCGGGGCGCCTCCAGCGGGGCCCTCCGGGGGCGCCTCCGGCGGGGCCCCCTCACCAGC